TCCAAGGCAGTTATAGTTGGGTCATTTAAAATTTAGAGAAAACTTCGGCTTCACTGGAGATATTGGAAAAAATAATGGAATTCTATCTAATAGCTATAAATAAGTTAGGGGTACGAAGAAGTTTAAAGAAACATATTTAAATCAAGAAAATCATATTTTACAATTTATAAATAATATAGATCTCAATTTAAGCTGAGGAAAAAGCTCAAAAAAATATCCGTTTGGCGATGAAAACATACATTTGTGTCCCTTATTGTTAATACTAGTTGTCCCTAATTAATTAACTGAACTATTTATGCAATGAGACAAATTAAAATGAAGCAATTGAACATTTTTCAATACGAACTGATAATTTATTACACAAGCTTTCAAGGATTACATACTCTCTCAAAAATTGTCCTTTATCCTTAATACCTTTTTATTTTTCTTCTTTGGATTATTACTCCATCTTTATTTTTCCTAACACCTGAATTGAAAATCCTTCTTAAACTATTTTATTCATGGCGACTCTAGAGAAGTCACATCCCAGCTTAGTGGCACTTATGCCCTTGCACCTTAGTGCAACTAGTTGAATTAAGAGGGCTAATGCAACACCTCACACGGCTAATACCCCCGCTTCCTGCAATCTGCTATTCCTCAGATACCAGCTACTCGTATCATCCTGCCATCCACGATGAGACTTTTGTCCGGCGGAAGCAGCGACGGAATCGCACCACCTTCACACTGCAACAGGTAAGTCGAAGGGAAAAAAAGGAAAACCTCTTTTAATTTTTAATTTCGAGCAGCTGGAGGAACTGGAGACGGCCTTTGCCCAGACCCATTACCCGGATGTGTTTACTCGCGAGGATCTGGCCATGAAAATCAACCTGACCGAAGCTCGGGTTCAGGTACGAAAAATATTCCCCCTTTCATTCCTGATTTGCTGACCTCTTTCGGGGAAAATTATGCAAAATATGAAGAGTTGAAGAATATTAAATTCGGAATTGAAGAACTTGGCGAAATCATATCAAATTTCATAAGTATATAAGTGTAGTACAACCCTAGAACGGTCACGCATTCTGATCAAAGCCCCGGTTTTTCTATATCCTCTCTTCATCTGGAACTTCATCTTCCCCCGACTCGATTAATAATGCATATGCATGCAGAACAGGCCTACGGACTCGGGGATTACCAACGGGTATGGGTTCGGGTTCTTGGGGTGGCATGTAGCATGTAGCCAGCCTAATGCAATAACTGCTTAAAAAATATATTTTCTATATACAGAAAGCCTGAAACAGGCGGAGCGGCAAAATATGCAAAGTTCTTAAGCGATAACAGGGAAAATATAAAAATGAAATACAAAAAGAAAGTAAAGAAGAGTGGAAAGCAAATTGCTGGATATAAAGCCCTCTTTCTCCGACCTGCCGCTAAATCAAATTTATATTTCAATATAAGAGTTGGAGGAGAGTTTCGTTTGGCTTGAAGCCGAAGTGCAAAAGCCCCCAAAATGATGATAGAAATTTGCTTTAGATCAGGTTAAGTAGTCAAAGGAAAGAAGTTCTTTATACAACTTAATAGAAAAATGTATTAGCTTTATAATTCACTACTTACATTTATTATAATATTTTTGACAGTATCCTTGAACTGTATGACTGTAACCTTTTCACATTATTCATGATTAATTTCTGGCAATTGCAGCCAAAATTAGAATCACTTTTCCGACACTTAAGCAAAGGCATACGGGTTTATCAGAGCGCTGATCTAAATGTAAATTAAGTCAGGAAAAGATTGTTTGTTCGCAAAAGACCGAAACGAAATAGGTAAGTGCGAGGGCAATTTGCATGATATGGCGAGCTGCATTTGTCAGATTAAAATGACAATTAGCGGATCTACTTTGGGGGAAATGGAAATGCAAGTCCGCAGATCTTGGGTGGGTGGAAATAACGAATCTCCGGCCACTCGAGCACGTCGTCTCGCTGAGGCCGAAAGCAAATTATGCACATGAAAATGGAGGCTGGAACAGACCAGAAACTTAATGAGGATGCCACACTAACTAGACACGTTTGTCGCGAAACCCACGCACACTTTGGTGGCTATTAAAACACTTTGGTGGCGTTACGACATCCTCTCCATTTTTCTATTTCCGGCACAATTAGCCCGATCTTTTTTCCCAGGCGTAACCAGATACTTTCAATTCAATTTGCCTTATAAAAGTTCTGGCAATTTGAAATTGTAAGTAAATACACGAAAACGTACGACAATGGGACACTTGTCGCAAACACGTGTACTTGTCAGCCTAACAAAATTACAAGTTAATAAAAAAGAACCCACCCTCTATATGGAGAACCTGCCTATTGCTACCAACTTCTGTGGTCCGAGTTTGCAGCGTCCAGAAAATTGCGGCGAAAATTGTAGAAAAAACAGAAAAACATTTCGACTGGACAGCTTAGTCTGGGATTTCGATAATGGAATGAATGCCAAATGTTTTGATGAGGGTGTGCGCACACAATTTTCCAACCGCATTTTGACACATTTTTTTGTTTTTTGTGCCCCGGCCAACGTCGAAGCGGAAATAAATTTTATAATAAAATTTATTATGTGTACTTCGCTTGATGCCCCAACATCCCCGACTTCGGTTTAGCCGCTCACTTGCCTGTAACCTGATACATTTTCCACGGGATTTTTTCGTCTGTCAATTTTTGATGCCCCGGCCAAAGCCCTGGGTTTCCCTGTTTTTATTCCCCTCCTGTCGCAACGCATTTGAGTTCATTGCAAAAATCATTTACTTAATGTACATCCCAGCGAGCTTATGGTTAAGGCCCCGGGACCCAGCTGGATCACGGGATATATCCCTAGTTATATATTCGCGGGGCAGAAAGCACATCCACCTGACAAGGACAAAGCACTTTGAAGTCGAGCTAATGCAGTAGAGCTTTCTAATAACTGATATTGATTGATAAATGAGTGGGAAATTTGATTTTTGAATGGGATAATAGGGGGAGAAAATAACACTGGGGTGGAATGGAACTTACTCATCGGAAAAAGTTGTGGAAAAGATTTGCGTACCATTAAACGATGAGTTCTAAGTGGCTTACTAAAAAGGCAGAAGAAATGTATAAAAAATACTTTTGTGTTAAATTTCAAAATCTCTATTGACCAACTGTTTACCTAGGTAATTTCCAATCAAATTTCTTGAAGCACTGCAATACATTAATAATAATATCCTCAATAAGCCCTCTCCCAGGCACAATAGTTATCAATTTCCCCGTCTAAGGCGATAAATAATGAAGTCGTTAACCCACTGCGATTACCGGTTCCCACATTTCCGACTACGCACCTCATACATAACTAATTCGATTAGAATTAATGTGCTGCAGCATGACAATTCGAAAGGGATACACCCACTATAAAGCCACCCAATCGGAAAAGTAAGGAACCACCACTCAAACCGCCGCCAAAGGGCTGCCACCGCATATAATGCCAATAATTGATAATTTATTATAATCACGGAGGTCCCAAGTGGCGATGTGAGAAACTGTTCAAGTAAAAAAACCGCAGAAGATGGTGAGGAATGAAAGGCAGGGTGGGGTAAATGCACTGGGAAAAAGATTTATTACCAGGAAAGGGTTAAAGGTTAGAGGCTAAATCTTAAAAATCTTAAGGTAGTTAACTTGTCAAATAACCATAACAAATACAGGATCATTTTGATCTTTCTCATCTAAATTGGTTCTTATCTATATACATAAATAATAGTAATAAAATATCTTGAATAAATACCACATCATAATAGTAGGATCCAAGATGAAATTAAGGTATTCTGACATTGCATAAGCATTACCACCCCAAGTTTTAGATCCAATGAACTAGTATAGATTAGAGTTTAACGCATCCAGAATTTCAATTCATTTTCTCGCAGTGCACTGGGGTGACTGGTTGACCGGGCTGCCTGTCAAATAATTGCATTTGCTCGAGTAATCCTTTAATGCTGATCCAAGTTGATGGCAGTCGAATCGAATCGAGTCTGCCTTATGTTGGCCTCAGGATATGGGCGGTTTCAGGGGAAGGACTCCAGGAAACCAGGATTCGGGATTCCAGGGTGCGGGGAAAGTGGAAAGGGTGGTGTGCGGTGGGTTGGTGTTGGCTGCTGCGGTAGCCCAATTATTGTTGCAAAGGGTTCTGTTTAGCCCCGAGCGAAATGCGTTTGATATTAACACATCTGTTCATTCATTCCACTTGAGCTGCGTCATCGAGGTCCTTGGTTTTTGGTTTCTGGTCCTTGTTCCCTGGGTGTTGTTTGCATTGAGTGTTCCGGGATCGGGACAAACTGTTTGCGGAAGCTAATGGTGCGCACTTGTCCGTAATTACCCCATAGACGACCTCCTGCATCTTCGCCCCTTTTCCCCTGATTTTCCCTGGCTTTTGGGTGGTGTTTCCATTGTTTCCTCTTGTGTTGTATTATATTTTTTGTGTGTAATTCGCTATGTTACGACTTTGTATTGTTTACGCTACCCCGCTTGTTTGCTTATTTGTTTTCGTTTTCATGGCAAATCGGTTTTCGAAACTTGTAACCGCAAAAATTGTGTTTGCCAAGTATATGAATAATTGTTTTGTTTATTGTTCTTCGAGAATTATGCGAAATTTTGTCGCTCTGGGCGTTTGCTTGGGTAAATAAATTACTTGAAGTGGGTCGAGGGTTCTGGAGAGGATCCTTTCGGATGTGTTGATAAGAAGAGACATATGCAATGGGGCATTATATTTGGGTGGGCATATAATTATACACAAAATATAATAGTTACACAAAAAAATTAAAAACATGACTTCTAAAAAGTCTAAAATTTTGGATGCTATCTTAACAGTTACTCCCATATACTAAAAATACCACAAAAACTTATTTTTTGCGTTTTGGTCATATTTAAATGTGAACCACGCGGTATATTGATCAATTTTTTAGCCAAAGTTAAGTAAAAAAATTTATTATTTATTTAAAAGTGATCAGACTTTAACAAAGAGTGCTACGCGTAGCTAGCTTTGTAAACGTTTTTAAGTTTTCAAAAAATAAGTCGTGTGACTGCCGACTGGATCGTAATCGACTGGATCTGGATCCTTAAACCCTCAAGTGAAATGTCGCTGAATCCGCAGTACGAGAACATTGGCAAGGCATTCGTGCAGCAGTACTATGCTATCTTCGACGACCCACCAAATCGGGCGAACGTGATTAATTTCTACGACGCTACGAACTCCTTCATGACCTTCGAGGGCCAGCAAATCCAGGGGGCACCCAAGATCATCGAAAAAGTTCAGGCTCTGAGCTTTCAGAAGATTGCACGCGTGATAACCGCAGTAGATTCGCAGCCCACTTTCGACGGCGGAGTAATAGTCAATGTCCTTGGAAGACTAAAGTGCGATGAGGATCCCCCGCACTCCTTCTCGCAGGTCTTTCTTCTAAAGCCCAGTGCCGGCTCTTTCTTCGTGGCCCACGACATCTTCCGCCTAAATGTCCACAACGCTGCCTAAGAGCCATTTAGCTGGACTATATCCAAGATATATTTTTATGAACCGACACAAACAAATGTTTCAAAAGTAAGAAGTTTTCCTTGTTACATGCATATAAAAATATTTTAAAAGTCTATTCTACATTTTTTAGGTCAGCAAACACTGTTTACAAAACAATACAATTGCTTCTGTTTCGGCAGTAAAAACATAAAAAAAAAGTAGCCGAGTGCCTCGATAAGGACCCAATCGAAATACAATACAGAATACAAAAAGGAATAAATGATAATGGACATTAGTTGGATCTTGTGAATAAATCTTAATAATAAGTTAAAAATGTATCTTTGCAATCACATCAATATACATGGTATTCATATTAAATATTATGTATCTTGTCCCCTCCTAAAAGTATACTTTGTATTGCTATAGGTTCAAAGTTACTGCATTATTTGTTTGATTGAGCTTTCAAGGAAATTAAAATATGCAAAGAATCTTTAAACTCGAACTTCTAAAAACAGGCCTAAAACAATACCCTGAAATATTTGAAGAGGTCGAGAACCCCATCCACTTCCAAAAGTAATTCCAAGCAAGCAATCAAGGAACTAAACCAAGCGAATTGAATAAATAAGAACACGTTAAATTCAGTGTGTAATAAAACAAGGCAAAATTGTGCATGAAATTATGATTGTGGGGGAGTGAGATGGCAATGGCCGGAGGGAAAGAGACAGACGCACACAATTGTTTTTCATTATTCAATTTTTGTCATAATAACAGGAGCAGTCAGAAGGAGAAGCTGCTTTTATCGTTATCTTGCCTCTCTTTCGTTCTTCGTATAGCCTTCTCCCTCCCTCTCCATCTACCCCCAGGGTGCACACGTACACACACAGAGAGAGAAAAAAAGTTTACCCAGCCATATTTTATTGGTAATGTGCTTATGGCATAAATATTGTATTAAGTAACTGGTGGGCGTCACCACCAAAAAACGAGGAAAACTGGAAAAGTTCAGACCTTGCAGTGGGTGGTTTGTGGGGCATTTCCTTTTTGGGGGTTGGATTGTGCGCAATTTATTGTTTGCCCAGGCAAAAAGGAGCGGGGGAAAAATCCAGGAGCAACATGGCGGCCCGAAGAGAGAGAAAAGCTATGGCCCAGTGGTTGGGGATCTCGCCTGGAGGCCAAAGTATGCTGAAATTGTTTTACGCTGCGTTATGATTACAACAATGGAGCCAAAATGCCAACTTTTGCACAATGTCTAATTTGAATTTTGATTAGGAAACTTGCTTACACACGCACACATAGAGCGCACAGAGCACATAGGGAGTGATTTTCCTTCAAGATGGCGCCCGAGCAGGGAAATCCCATTAGAGGGCGCTCTAAGCTGGGGAATCAACGCAAACCGGAACTAAAAGCAAACGAAACGAACGGGAAGTACGGAAAATTGGGAGTGAAAAACGGGAGAAAGTGGGGTTACGAAAAAGGAAACACGCGCGCATAAGCAAGCAATCCAAAGGATATTTCTAGGGATGCCAGGGCATTGTCTTGATTGAGCCTCATTAGAGCAGGAGCGTCATGTGTGTGGGAGGTTCTCCGCCCCTTTGGAAAAAAACTCCACCCCCTTCCCAATTTAGGCGCTGATTACAAGCCAAATTTGTTTTGTCTTCCTTAGGAAAATTGAAAATCAGATTTTGTTTGTTTATGTCTTAGATTGGCTGGCAAGACAAAAGGGAAAAACACAAACATTTTTTGGGGGTGGCACCGGCACCCGAACCCCACACACAAATTGTTAAAGTTTCTGAGGTGGAAAATTTCGTTTGTGTGTGGGGAAAGTTTTTCAATTTTCCATTGGCTGGCAGCGGGCGACTTGCCCCGTGGCATAAATAATAATAGACATGTGGCCATATCATGGCAATTTGCTCCGAAACTTTCTCAATTTCATTCGAGTTTCCCATCCCATTTTCCCATCACGCAGGTCTGGTTCCAGAATCGCAGGGCCAAGTGGCGCAAGGCGGAGCGCCTCAAGGATGAGCAACGTAAGCGGGAAAATGGAGAGAGCAGCAGCTCGCTGGATAAGGTAAATAAATTGAATTATAAAGGGGTTATGGGAGGGTACAACCCATAGTTAACGCCTTTAAAGGGACCTAGCTCTGGAGATTTAATATCCCAAATGTCCAAAATGTAAAAGAAGTTCATACTAAAAATTCAATAATAACACCACCTGTATATTAAATTAGAATTTAAAAAAATTATTAGTGCAGGTAGTTATTATTCTTTGATTTCAGGACTAACAGTGATTTTTTTCCATTCAACATTTTGTTTTTGTTTTTATATTTGCATTGAGTTTTTCAATTTTCTTAAAAGAAATTAAAGTGTTTTAAGCCAGTTTATTTTGAATGCCTTTTATATATTCTAAAATAAATTTGAAAACATTTTTAAACCTGCTCCTTACTGCTTCTTCAGCTCCACGACTCGCGTGAATCTTCGCCAGACATTACGGGTGAAATAGACGACGACATGGATGAGTTGCCGCCTCGTCAGCGGTCGCACAGTCCGCTGGCCAACGGGCAGATGGAGCAGCAGCACTCCCACTCGCATTCGCACTCGCATTCCCGCAGTCCGGGGGGCGGGATGCACCTGGACTCCAGTGACAACGAGCGCCCGTTGTCCTCCAACCAGCTGACCGCCACCCCGCACTCCGCATCCCAGTCGCTGGGTTCCATCAGTGCCGGATCGCCATCCCCCTCGGGAATGCACAGGGAGCGGGAGCATACGCCCCTGGCGGGCAGCGGGGGTCAGGGGCCGAGCAGCCCCTCCAACTCGCGGAACACCGACTCCCCCATCGAGGTGGGCGGACCCATGTCCTTGACCACCAGCTCAAGGATGCCGGCCTCCTCCAACAACTCGGCCTCTTCCACGCCCACGCCCACCACCCCACACGCCCCCCAGATGCCACACTCCTCGGCGGCTGCGGCGGCCGCTTTCGGGAGCCACATCTTCGGGAGCTTCGGAGGAGGCAGTAATGCCAGCGATAGGTAAGTCGAGTCACAGAATATGTACCTTATAAGAATGATATTGGAATTACTTAAGGAAAACAATGTACTTAAAGGACTAACTTAAATAATGATATAGACCTAAACTCGTCATATAATCATAATCAAAATGACCTAAGTCCATACTATATATTTTTAATTTCCTTGAATAAATATATAAATCGATTTTTCCCTATTTTACCATGCGTCATTAAAGAAAGCTTATACATATTGTTTAAATCTCTCGGTACTCCTCTATAATTCAATCACAGACACTGAAACACCTAATTGTCTATACAACCCCAATAAAAACGAATCAAGACTTCCGGCGATAATCAATTCGCAGAGCACTATCACCCAAGTCATTTATCTTCTTGTCCGCGAAGCTGCTGAAGGATACCCAGGATAACCATCCGGCATATCCCACATATGGCTGAGACAATGGCGGGAGTTCCGCCGATGATTAGACACTGGGCGCCCTCGATATCGCACGTGTCGGCCATATCGATGATGACCGGCATCATTAGCGGGGGGTCAGGACTGGGATTCCATGGGATGGGACTCCTTCCCCTCAACGGTGGCCATCGGGGGAGGAGACTGCTCTCTTAATGTTTCCGCTGGCGCACACGACATCCGCTGACCGGAAGTGCGCCAATGGAATTTAAACGTTTTCCATCCAAAACATTAAGTAGAACGCCTTCCGCTGCGCACGCCTGTTCAATAACCCGTGAGCCGGGAAAATCCAACGGGAAAAAGACAGAGAGCCGAGAATCAAGAGATAAACACCGCAGGAGTCGATGGCACAAGGACACTGGGGGAAAAATCCTTGTAAAACGAAAATAAGTATTAAATTTTTTATTACTTACAAACAGAGAGCATCAAGAAAACTGATCTTAGAGATTACCAGGGTTTTGAAATGAAGTTTAAAATCCAATCTAATCTATATAGATGAAAGATCAAAAGTGTTCACAAGTATGTTTCATATCCCAAACTTCAAATAATATATGCAATACATTTAGAAGAACTAACAAATTTATATCTTTATGTTCTTTCGTAACATCTCATGTACTTAAAAATGAGTTCGACAAACTATACTGCAACTTTGTAACCCATTTATCCCAGTGGAAGACTAAAGATGCAAAAAACAGGGGATCTGGAGCCAAGAATCGCATTGTCCACCCGGCCAAGCATCTAATGTCATTACTGCTCTCATTGCGGTCATTGTCTGGCTGCCTCCCCCAAATCCACCCACTCATTCACCCCCCGCCCCCTTAATCAGTTGCTAATTTAGTCATCGTCGCCAGAAAAAATAAGAGAGTGTTAAACAGAGAGGAAAGACAAAGAGAAAGAGAGACGGCTACATTGGCACTGCCCACTTAGGGGTGATATTTTGTCGCAATTTCCTCGTTTTGTTGGATTTTTGTAAATATTTGCCAGGGGTTGAAAAACAGTTTGTTTCCACTTCTCCTTTATTTTCCTGCCAGTTGTTTTTGTCGCTGTTTGATGACAAAATGCGACACTTGCCATAAATTTTATTGTTTGTTTGTCTAATTCCTTTGTAAGTGGAGGCTTAATGACACGCAGGCAATTAGCAGATCATTTGGCTTATAATCGTTTAGACTGCCCGAAAGGGGAGGGATCGTGTGAGGGTGCTGAATGGGATATTGCCGGGGGGTTGGGGTTGTTGTTTTCACATACTTGCTTATTCATGAAGTGTACATTTTTCTTAATATTTTTTTACATCGATAAAATTTATTAGGAAGACCCTTATTTAGTTTAACAAGTTGAATGGCTGTAAGCTGGTTGTCCATCTTGATCTGTATAGATTCCAGTTTATTTTCCAGGATTATAAGATAGTTCTTCGTCTCTCCCAATTTTTTTTCAAAATCTTCTAGGATTTTCTTTTTAAAAGATTCTTGATCCATGACATGCAGGCTCTCCGTCCTCTCCAGTCTTTCATCCCTCGATTCCAGAGAAGTCTTGGGGTTGCTTACAGATTCTTGCAGAGTTCTGAACTTTATGTGTACCTGACTGAGTCCAGACAGGGATCCTTTAGGACGCCACACAATAAAAGTAAAAGCTAAAACAGCAGCGAACCTAACCATTTTTATTTTATTTTTTTTAAACGTAGTTAAGTTCAGATTGAGATTGCCATTGAAGCGTTAGGTCTGGACTTCCCCATTTTATACCCTCTGAGCAAAAGAGATGCTGTTTTTCTTATCAGAAGAAATG